GAGACTTTCTTTTATTATTAGAGTTTAAGATATATTAAGTTTAAATATATAATTCTTTCAATAGTTTTGCTAGAAAATTCATGGTAATTGCTTATTAAATAGGCTTAAAAATATTGCCCGAAATGGCTGCTGGATTTCCAACCGTCATTGATTGAATTGACTCAAGACCAATGAATACAAAGATCTCGTTGCTGACTGAATGTAAATAACATTTATTAATTTTACATAAATTAATGGCATTCGCTTCCGATGGTGCTTTAAATCGATGAATCATGGTGGCCATTCACTGTGTTACGCAAATCAAATTCCGTACTATTTATGACAAGATATGAAGGATTACTTCCCCTTTTCGAAAATAATCAATGTAATTACAAGTAAACATTGTTTTGGATTCGCTTTGTAATCACATTCCTATGGACATGTTTTTTTATTAACGTTAATGGCGTGCGTGATATTTCTTTACCTATTTTACATAACATGTTCAGCTTTACATTTTCTCGCTGAGCGCGAGATAACATTGCGAGTACTAATAAATTTCATATTATAACCGTGTTTCAGTTTTAATATAGATTTACAGATTGCAATATCCAAACCCGCAGTTTCCTGTGTGAATTTCTTTCTTAATTACTGTCATTTTATTGGTCAAAATTCATGCAAACAGGTTTGAACCGAACCGCTCTTGATTGTATCTCTTAAAAAGATTAATTCAAATAAATTTGATTGGGTCATTCATTAATACGTAATATATCTAGATTATTCTGGACAGCACGATTGTATCTAATTGGATACTTGATACTTGGCATGATCGCATAATTGGCGATTATTAATTCGCAAATTAGGGTAATATAAAAGGCTCAAGAACGACACGACTCTGTTTGTTAAGTTCTCCCTCTCGTTTTTTTTATTGTCTATTTTTTACTGTCCTCAGCACAAAGCTTCTACCATGCAAATCTTCGTAAAGACCCTTACCGGCAAGACTATCACCCTCGAGGTGGAATCCAGCGACACCATTGACAATGTCAAACAAAAAATTCAAGACAAAGAAGGTGTGTTTATTATTCTCCCTTGCTGTAATTTAGTGCTAGTCGCAGTAATTTAAATAAGAAAAGTAGACGTGCTATTTTGTTTTGAAGTATAATATTTTTAAAGAAATGGCAATACTACATCATCCATCCGACTGACCTTATACTAGGAAAATTAAAAAAAATAATATATTGACAACATATCCTTAAAAATAACCATCTTGTTAAACGCTCCCGAAAAATTAACTTGTCATTTGCAATTATTTATAAGAAATGAATAGTATGAAACATACATATTACTAATTATTATTGTTTTATATTGTAAAAATCTAAAAATTAATTATAGGTATTCCTCCGGACCAGCAACGTTTAATCTTCGCTGGCAAGCAACTCGAAGATGGTCGTACTCTTTCGGACTATAACATCCAGAAAGAATCCACCTTGCACTTGGTGCTCCGTCTTCGCGGTGGTATGCAAATCTTTGTCAAGACACTCACCGGTAAAACCATTACCTTGGAAGTCGAATCATCCGATACTATTGATAATGTCAAGCAAAAGATCCAAGACAAAGAAGGTATCCCTCCGGACCAGCAACGTCTCATCTTCGCTGGCAAACAGTTGGAAGACGGACGAACCCTCTCCGACTACAACATCCAAAAAGAATCCACCTTGCATTTAGTTCTCCGTCTTCGTGGTGGTATGCAAATCTTCGTCAAAACCTTAACCGGTAAAACGATCACCTTGGAGGTTGAGTCTTCGGATACCATCGATAATGTCAAACAAAAAATCCAAGATAAGGAAGGTATCCCTCCAGATCAGCAACGTTTGATCTTTGCCGGTAAGCAACTTGAGGACGGTCGCACTCTTTCAGATTACAACATCCAGAAGGAATCCACTTTGCATCTCGTACTCCGTCTTCGCGGTGGTATGCAAATCTTCGTCAAAACCTTAACCGGTAAAACGATCACCTTGGAGGTTGAGTCTTCGGATACCATTGACAATGTTAAGCAAAAAATTCAAGATAAAGAAGGTATCCCTCCGGACCAGCAACGTCTCATCTTTGCTGGCAAACAGTTAGAAGACGGACGTACCTTGTCTGATTATAATATTCAAAAAGAATCTACCTTGCATCTGGTACTCCGTCTTCGTGGTGGTCAATAATTTAATTTATCCTGGATGTTAACAAAATTAATTCAGCTCTTTACTATTTGTTCGTCAAATTGTATCACTACTTTAGCAGTCCTTACACTTATGTAACAATTGCAGTCAGTAATAAAGAAATATAAAGTTCCGTGAATATAATAAGACTTCAAATTTCCCGGGTGCAAGACTAGAAGTCCATTAATTTTCAGCGTGCATTTATGTTGGAACAAAAAGCAATCAATAAGAATACGCAAATTTTTTATCAATCCGACAAGACAATTAAAATGTTGGGAAGACAATTTTACAGCGTCGATCATTATGTATAACATCTCGATAATTGAAAAATCCCCTATTGTCGATTTTTCGACTTAGTCGAAAAAATCAGCTGATCAATTTTTTGTAAAATAAACTTCAAGTAAAAGAGATAATATTCTAAAGATAGGTAACATATATTCATTTTTGTGGTTTGCTAGAATGAGATTGGAAATCTTTTTTTTAACAAAGATAAATATATTTATGTTTTCAATTATAATTTATAAATTGAATTCAAGTTTGATTTAAAATTTGAACTGAATTCAAATTGAATTTTGGTTTGAGTTTAAGAAAAGTTCAAAGTTTGAACCAAGCTTGAATTGAATCATTGTACAAGTTTGATTTGAGATCAGTATATAGTATTATATTATTATTTTTATAATATTCAAAATAATTTTATTGGACAATTATATTTTTAATTAGTATTTAAAATTTGAATTGTTATTCAATTTTAATTAGAAATTCAGTTCAAATTTCAGTTTAATTTTGATTCAAATTTTAGTTCAAATATTGATTTGAATTTCAGTTTAAATTAGAGATTAAAATCAGTTATATTTTTACAAATTGGTTTAATAATATCTTGAAAATTGCAATTGGTTATATTAAAACTAGTTATATTAATTTGGTTTCAACTGATTAATCAATTATATTATTATTTTCACATTTTTTTGAAATACAAAAATTTATATAATCAAATTCTTTTATAGTCATTACCTTTAGGAAAGCAAAATTGGATGACTATAAAGTAAATATAATTGTAGAGTTTTTTTATTATATTTATATATAAATGAAAAAGCAAAATAGTATAATTATAGAGAAATATAACTATAAATAAATATGATTATAAAAAGATTTAATTATATTATTATTAATTAATCATTTACAACTAGTTATATAGTTAAATATCTTTATAGTCACATTCATTTATAGTTATATTTCTCTATAATTATATTCTCTTTATAGTTATTAAATTTTGCTTTTCCAAGAATGATGACTATAAAGGGATTTGAATATATTAAAATTGATTAATCATTTACAATTGGTTATAATAAAATTAATTATTTACAACTGATTATAATAAAACTAATTAATTATTTTGAAAAATTTTGAATTGGTTATAAATTAAAATTGATTAAATCTGATTATAAATTTAATTTTGATAATCAATTCAAATTTCTATTCAAATTTTTATTCAAATTTTTATTCAAAATTCAATTTAATTTATAATCTTATTAAAAGTTTAATTTTTATAATTTATCTATAAATATAATATATATCTTAACTTAAAAAAAATTTGAATTTATTTTTTGTTATATTTTTTTTAATTCTTAGTTAATATTTAATAATTTCTCATCTTAATTATGAAGTTATTATTATTACAGTTAAATCTCTTTATAGTTAGCACTTCTAAAAAAGCAAATTAAATGATTATAAAGAGAATATAACTATAAAAAGATTTTTTTTACTATACTTATATATAAATGAAAAAGTAAAATAGAATAACTATAGAGAAATATAATTATAAATAAGTATGACTATAGAGCTTTGACAGTATTTAATTTATAATTTTTGTTTAGCTTGTAAAGTTATACTTTTTATAATATTTGTAATTATTCTTTTATCTAATCTATAAAATTAATATTATATAATTAAATTAATAAAAAAATCATATTCTACTTGTTTATAAATCAATTTTTGAAAAAATATAATTATTTTCAAATATTTCTGATCTTATTCTTGCTAATTAATAAATGAATATATATTACTTATTTTTGAATATTTATATTTTTTCTTTTATTTATAAAACTTTCTCATTTAATTTGATATTATATATTATTTATATATCTTTTTTTATAACAAAATATAAAATAATAACAAAATTTGGTGTTTTCTTTGTAAAAGAAAAATATTAATAAAATAAATAATTATTGAAGAATAAAATTTTAGTTATATTAAATTAAAAAAAATTACTCAACAAATAAATAATTTATAAATAAATAACTTAAATTAATAAATTAAATTGAATTCAATATGATTAATCAATATTAAAATTAATCAATTATTTGAAAATTAAGAAATAAAATTAATTTAAAAAAACTCTTATCAAAAAACAGCTCAAAGAAATAAAATAATAAATAACTAATATAATTAATAAAAGTTATTTAGAAAATTTCATTATCAAATCAATTAATTAACTTAATATATTATTAAAATAATACTCTTATCAAAATAAACAAAAAATTCAAGTATATATATTATTATAATTTTATATAATTTTGAGCTTTGTTATAGAAAAATATATAAATAATATATATAATTAAATTAGATAAAAGAATTTGTGTAATTAACTTTTAAAATAAGAAAGAATACTAAATTATTAAAGATAGATAATATTATTATGATATAAATATTTAGTTTTTATTTTATCAGTTAATTTATATTATAAATTTAATTGAATAATATTTTATTAATTAATTTCATCCTAATAAATTAAATAAGAGTAAACATAATTATTATATAAAATTATATATAAAAAGCAATGAAGACTAGTGAAAGCAAAAATACCAGTGAAAGCCTCCTGATTTCTTCTTCACCTTGTTTGATGTCAATTGATTCTGTATCACTTTTTGAGTCATCAATGATTTCCACAGATTCAGCTAATATCGAATGTGGTGGTGGCATAATGTGTATGTCCCCAGTGTCTTGGTGATTTTTTTTGGAAGCTCTTGCTTCAGAACCATCGTCCTAAAGTATTAAAATACAAAACCATTAGTCCTATTGATTCGCAATTTATAGCTAAAAAAAAATGCGCGTCTGTACCTCTTCCTGGCTTCTTTTGGGTATAATTTTTTTGGACAATCCAGAAACAAAAGTTCCACCGTTGGTGGTTCCGCTTATATTCACGTTGTTAATTCCACCACTTGTAAATGTTGGTTGGTGGAGATGGATCTGTCTATGTGAATTCTCCTTGTTCCATTCTCTTGCTATTTTATGATCGGGCCCCTATCATGGAAAATTTGGAAATTAGTAATATTCTTCAACTAGCACATCTCTAATTCCCAACCGATTTCTGATCCCATCAAAGCATCAGACAATCGAGCAGATCATCTGTGCTCAATGGGTCCAGTGCTGGATCGACAAACAGTCTTTTAACATCAGACAAACAAGCAGGTCATCTGTGCTCCATTACTGGTTTGTGACTCAACGAACAGTTTTGAATGACGAACAATCAAGCAGATTTTCGCCACGTCACTTATTTCCACTTCATTTCAAAACAGAAAAAAAAATTCTTTACTTGCCGTCCTATATTGATCAAGGAGCAACTTTGCTTTTTCACACCTCCTGTCTTGCTCACAATCAATAATGGTTTCAAGAGATTTGATATAAATGTCTATCTTCCGTTTGAAAGTTTCTGCGCTACACTCATTAAGAAAATCCAGAATACACCATTCCAATGTTTTCGATTGAAGTATTCATGGATTATTCTGTTGGTTTTGAGATAAAGGCGAAAAAAAAATTTTCACAAAGAATGTATGTAATTAATTAATTTGGTTTATCATAAGAATCAAGCAGTCACACAAATTATTCTAATTTTTCCTGTGATACATATTACTGGTTGATCGAATTTATTATTGAAATTACGACTTAATTAACAAATTCGTATAAAAGGTTAATATACAGTGAAACTGGCTTTTCGGAAGTTATATATATTCAATGGTATTTTGTGAGGGGTTCTTAGCAGGACACCGGATAATTCTATGATAACCCATGTGCCTTAGCGAGGTAAAAATAGTGATTTTTTCGATGAACTACTGTGCAAAATGGGGTAAATGGGATCAAAACTGGTATCCAAAAAAAGGGTAAATTTTTTTTTCCTTTTAATAAAAGAAGTTAAAAAATGCTTCTAATTGAAAAAGCCACACCAAAATAAAATCGCTTTTAATAAATTTAAACATTTGCTTATTTGCTTCTTTTAGTAAATTCAAATAAGTTTTTTATTTTATTAGATCAAAAAAATGATACACACTAATTTTTAAAATAAAAAAAAACTTGTTTCACTGTTTTAGTATAATTAACACAAAACAACAATTTTCTTCAATTGTTTCTTTAGAAATAAATCTTAGGTCTCAAGATAATAAATTTCCACAATTTTATTTTATACATTTTTAGTAATAATAAATAATTTAATCTTAACATAATTATTTTTCATGGAACCAATTGAGGATTTTTATTCTCTTTTATATCAATTATATGCTTCTGTCTGCCTACTTTGCTTGTCATCACAGTACCAATTTAACATCTCTTCAATTTTAAAATAAATGAAAACCTACAAAGTGAACATAAAATTATATATATAGGGATAAGTGTATATGAAAAGTATTAACAAAGGTAATAAATACAATGGTTTTAATGAATATGAAAAAGCAATTGACTTTTTGAAAAAAGGTTGTGATTGTGGTTGTTCATCAATGGTTCCTAACAATAAGTTTGCAGAATTAAGGGAGTCCTTTCAAGCACTTTCCAAGTCTGAACAAGACATATTTTTAATGGCACAGATTAAAGCAATGGATGGTGGATCAATAAGCACCAGCAGACGCCTTAAAAAGAAAAATAGATCTAATAAAAGAACTTTCTACCACTGAGATCACAATACACTACTTTGTCAAGAAACTTATCTCAATATGTTAGGAATTGGTAGAACTTATTTTGAAAATATTAGAAATCATTTGATAAACAATGGTCTTCTAGCAAGAGTTCATGGTAATATTAAAAGGATGCCTCAATGAAAAACTAAAATGGTGATTGATAAAAATGTTGCTGAAATAGTAAAGAATTTTCTAGAAAATTATGCCGAAGTTCATGGCTTGCCAAGTTCAGGAAGAAGTATCAATAGAATAACCCAATCAATTGTATTCCTACCAGCTGAAATGGGTTATAAATCAGTGCACAGAGATTTTCTGGCTGGTTTGGAAGAAAACAGCAAATTGAAATCTTTAAAATATGATGCATTCAGGAAGTTATGACATCAATTGACACCAGAAATTCAAATTATGAGTCCAAGAACTGACTTGTGTGATGCTTGTCAACATTTTAGAAATGGTTTACATTATAATGTTCGTCAGGAGAAAGAAGCCAAAGATTTACTTAAAAAATTTAAAGAGCATCTGTCCAAGGCCAAAGTAGAAAAAAATTACTATAATAAAAATACCAAATTAGCAGAAGAGCAAAGAAAATTAGTTAATCAACATTATTCAAAGGGTAAAATACAATATTGCAGCATTGAAGCTACTGCTCATTATAGTTATAATTGGATCCAAAATGTTCATGTACCCCATTCAGATCAACAGGTAAGTAGGATTTATTACCTTAGTCCACGCAAAGTTCATTTATTTGGTATTCAAGATGAAGCAGTAAGAGAACAAATCAATTATGTTCTTGATGAAAATAAAATAATAGGTAAAGGTCCTAATGGTACACTGAGTATGATTTTTGATGGAATTAAGAAATTGAATAAAGGTGAAAAACATTTAAAGATTACTTGTGATAATGCTGATGGACAAAATAAAAATAATGTAACAATTTCATTTTATTTATATTTGGTAATTTGTGGTTATTACAAAATCATTGAATTAAATTTCATGGTTCCAGGACATATCAAATTCAAATGTGATGGTAATTTTGGCATGATTAAAAAACTCTATAGAAAAACAAGAGTAGATTGTCTGGATCATGTGGTTTCAGTGGTAAAAAAGTCTAGTCCAGCAGGATTGAATAAAGCTCAGTGTTATGAAGGTGGAAAAGACTTTCAATACTTAGATATTAAAGCTATTTTGGGAATTTATTTTAAGAAACTAAATGGTTTACAAAAGTATCAATATTTTCTTTTTGAAGCATCTAATCTTGGTGTAGTCAAAACTCAGGAGATTGCTAATGGATCTTTTACTGAATTCAATTTATTGAAAACCAAGAATGCAGATATTTTTGAAGAAATTGAATCTTTATCTATTTTAGTATTGTCATGATATGACATTTAACGAATAATCTTATTGGATAAGATTTATATTCATTATTATTGGATTATAATTATT